ATTACCTGGGAAAGGAAATTTATATTAGTTGAGATCATATTCATTACTTAAAGTTATCATAGGCCTTTCTATTATCTGAGTGACCGAAAGAGTTGTAGAAATGTCTTCATTGTTCTGTCAAGGTCAGGGGATGGACTGCAAGTACCAAACAGCTTTAATGGGATGGTTGGAAACAAAAGTAAAACTGCTTATACAATTTATTCATTCATTCATCCAGCATGTATTTACTGAACACCTGCTATGTGTCAGGCACTGTTCTAGGTACTGTATATACATCAGTGAAGAAAACATATTTAAAAAGTCTCTGGTTTCACAGAGTTTTATACTTAGGACATTGTATGTTCAGTGTCCTGGAGATGTATACACATAAGCACACATAGATAGACAGGTGATAGAGTGAGTTACCCAGGCATTCTATTTATTTTCCATCACCTCTTTAAAGTTTTGGTGAAACCCTAAGCTAGTGTAGCTAAGGGAAATGTGAAATTGTTCCTCTCTGTCGACTTGATTACATGTGAGGTTGTCCTCTTAGGTTTTCTGCTAGTCTGCATTCAAATTGTTATATTCTTGTACCATGGTTGCTAAATTAATTACAGAATTTTTCTAGTATGTCTACAAAGTTCAACTTTAAAGTACTGCTTTTCCTCAAGTATGTATATAATTCAGCTTAATTTGTTTTTAAATATTTTTTGCAATGCTGCACTTTGCTGCTTAGGATTGTCTCTGCATGGTCTGGTGCGTAAAAATGAGCTCTTTTCCTACTCTTTAGTGCACAAGACCATTAAGAAGAAACTTGGACTCTGGTGACAATTTTTTAGAAGTTTCCCAGCAGGGGTGAATTAACAGGATTTGCATTCTATACAATATAGTCAGGTTCTGGGCTGATAATATACTGTGACCAGTTCTCTATCCTCAACTCCCATCCCCACGCATCCCATACACACTCATACACACCCTGCCTTGTAGGTCCTATTAGTACAGGACTGGGAAAAAGATCACTTTGATTTATGATGGGAGGGGAAAATGTTCGTGTTGAATGCTCTGCTACTGTGTAAAATCTCTTTACTGTGCAGCTGTCTGTCTGAAAAATTTGCTATGTAGTTCTTTTGTGTTCATTTATGTGTGATGGAACAAATACAGACTAATGAACTCCTAGTTTTAAAGTTGAAACATTTTGATCATTTAGTGGAAGGAAAACGAAGGCGTGTTTTACGAAGGCATGTTTTATTAAAACATTAAAATAATTACTAATGGAAACAACCTAAATGTCCATCAACAGAGGAATGGATAAAGAAGATGTGGTACATGTATACAACGGAATATTAATCATCCATAAAAAGGAATGAAATTGAATCATTCCTAGAGACGTGGATGGACCTAGAGACTGTCATACAGAGTGAAGTAAGTCAGAAAGAGGAAAGCAAATGTTGTATATTAACGCATATATGTGGAACCTGGAAAAATGGTATAAATGATCTTATTTACAAAGCAGAAATAGAGACACAGATGTAGAGAACAAACATATGGATACCAAGGGGGAATGGGGGGAGTGGGACGAATTGGGAGATTGGGATTGGCATATATACACTACTGATACTATGTATAAAATAGATAGCTCATGAGAACCTACTGTATAGCACAGGGAACTCTACTCAGTGCTCTGTGATGACCTAAATGGGAAGGAAATCAGGAAAAGAGGGGATACATGTATACGTGTAGCTGATTCACTTTGCTGTACAGTAGAAACTAACACAATATTGTAAAGCAACTATACTCCAATAAAAATTTAAAAATAAAATTATTAATTGCTATTTTTATAAAGCATATAAGCATATAAAACTTTAAATTCTACTGCCTGGTATTTACTTATTAAAATACCATTTAAAAAATATATCACACCTATTTCCTAATCATAACATTGTGGCTGTTCCCTAGTTTCAGTTCCATAGGCTTCTTTAAATACCATATTGATGTTCATTATACTGTCATCTAACATTTTTTAAAGTTTTAGTTCTTATGTGTAAAGTAAGAGCCCTTCAGTGTTTTAGTTAATGTAATTTAACCATTATTAAAATTCAGTTTGGTTGAGCAGTGTTTGTTATATATTGGACCTCTTCTACTTTTGAATATTGATAAATAACCTCTTACCATAGGTTTAAGTTAGTTTAGCAAAAACATTATTGCTTTCTTACTATGTGCCATACACAATCTTAGTTTCTGCATCAGCTAAAATACACTATCTGTCTTTGAGAAGCTTACCATATCATCTAAGCCCTGTGAGGAAAGAGATATGGAAATTCTTGATTTTATAATTCATAGGATATAAATTTACAATTTCAGTAAAATGTGTCAAGAGCTGTGGTAAAAATATACACAGATTATTACCTCTTTCTTTCTAATTTCTAATTCCTGCATAATTTCTATTAATAACAGAGTGAGCACTTTGACACGAGACAAGAGTTTTTAGGTAAAGTTTACACATAATATTAATAGTTGGGTATCAGAAAGATTGTAAATGCTGATGTCACATATGTGAATTGTGAAGTGTGGATGTTAATCCTGAAGAAATATGTGTTAATAAGCAACGTATATTGAATGTACTGATTAAAATTGTCTGATTAATCCAAAGTAAATGCTCTAGAGGCATTAAATTGAGCTTTTAAAGAATTATTATCCACCTGAATCTTTTTAATTTCTCAAATGCTCCTAATATATTATTTACCACTTGCTAGTTTTTGAAATAATGAGAGTAATGTCATTTGGATGCTTAAAAATATATAACTAGAGATAAAGTAATAAAATAATAAATCATTTTTCTTCCAGTAATCTATCTTACCTTTCTAACCTTACTTCAGAGTTAACTGTTATGCACAAGTAAATCTCTGGAGACCTTGTAATAGTACAGTGCTTGGTTTCAAAGTGTGTATTAATTCAAAATTCCCTTTGCTTACCACTTAGAGCTGGAATTATGAACATAAAAAATATGTATTAAAACCTATTTAAGGAAAAGAGAGTATGCCAGCCTGCCACAATAGAAAATATATAGTGAAGAGAATCCATGAACTCAAAGCTAGAGCATTCAGAAAAATAGAAACTTATTTGTTACGGGACAAGGAGATTTAAGAACATAAAAAATCCACAGAATTTGGCTTCAATTAAATAATAGCATTTCATAAAATACTATAATACATGTTATCAATTTCATGAGTAAAATTAAGAGATTTTTAGATGGAATGTGTCCACAGCAGCTAAACGTCAAACACAGACTTTTTTTTTTTTTTTTTTTTAAAGTCCCACTTTATTTATTTATTTATTTATTTTCGGTACGTGGGCCTCTCACTGTGGTGGCCTCTCCCGCCGCGGAACACAGGCTTTGGACGCGCAGGCTCAGCGGCCATGGCTCACGGGCCCAGCCGCTCCGCGGCATGTGGGATCCTCCCAGACCGGGGCACGAACCCATGTCCCCTGCATCGGCAGGCGGACTCTCAACCACTGCACCACCAGGGAAGCCCAAACACAGACTTTTGAAGACCAAGATGATTCTCTACCCACAGGGCATAAGTGACATGGGAATTTGCAGTTGCTGTGTGTGAAATGCTGTGCAGCTGCATTTCAATGTCAATAATACTAGATGGACAATAATACTAGACATAGTAGAAAATATGTCTACTACATATTGAAGTATCTTTGTCCCACTCACCTTCCATTTTCCATTTCTTTTTTTTTACCCAGGGAAATAAGATAGAACCAGGGACTCTGAAAGAGAATTTTACATCTGTGTGTGGGGTGGAGAACACAGGCAGAGTAGGAAGTGAAGTGTAAGAGTGGGTATGGGGCCAAATAGGAGTCCAGTAGAAACTACAGGAAAGTGGAATCATACTCTTTTTAGACATATTTCAAGGTTGTTCTTGAGTTCTGTTTTTAGGAGCTTTTGTGGTATTTCTTAGATCTGACCGTACTTGGGTCCTCTGGACCGAGAGGGCAACTCTTTTGAGGGATGTTCTACATATAGCTTTTGTGTGTGGATGAACTTTCATTCTTATACAGATATTTCTAAAATCATTGGCTGGTTGAGAATCTGTGGATCTCTCAGTCATTGTTGTCATTTTCCCAATGATGGAGGAAAATACAAAGCTACTTGATACCCTGTCATCCAGACCTTTGTGCATCTTTTCTGCATGAGATATTTCCCAAGGTAGCCTATTAACTGAAAGCTGAACGAACATTATTAAGCAGCTCCTAAATAGTGTTTAGGTAAAGTGTATCATAATAGTTCAATACCTCTCTTCCACACCTGACCCTAAAACACTTCCTTTTAGTCTGTTGTTGTCAACAGTTCCTTATTCAATACAATATTTAAGCAAAAGACCATAAGAAGAAATGTGGAATTAGCTGTAGAGATAAAGGCCATTGCTGTAGATCTTAGTGGGTTGGGAATTTATGTGTTCATAGCTAATTCTATAGGTTGAATTTTGTTTGATGGTATCAAGTATATCACAAATATGAACCTATCCCTAGAAATGTCAGTTTTATATAGAAAAGTAGCTCATTTTTGTTGAGATTCAGTTCTGTCTCTAATTTCAGTTCATTTTAACAGTGAATCCTTTGTATATATGCATAAATAAACTTGTCACCTGAACATTATTCTAATAGTAAGACTGTGGAAATATCTTTGGAACATAGAGTTTTTATTAGAGGAAGTGTTCATTTTCCATGTCAATTTAAATTATTCTTTTGAAAAGCACTTTGTAGGCTGAGTGTGCAAGATGTTAGCTAGAAGTTGAAATTGTATTCTAGCATCTGTAGAATGTACCTGCCTTTCACACACCACAATCACTGCAAAAGAGGTAATTCTTTTTGCCTCATTTGTAATTCTGTGATATAAATTCTGAAGTTTCACAAATTGGCTATGATGGTTATTACAGTATTAACATGGCTACACATCTCTTTGGTTAGTTTACAAGCTTAATTAATCATGTTTCATTTTCTTTCAGGCTTTCATAGCAGCTTCTTTTAATTTTAAATTGAGATTTATAAAAGAGAACATTTTCTGAGGACTCTTCAATTCTGCTGTCTTTAAAGAAATTCCTTCTCAAAAGAGTTAAATTAATCAACATTCAAGCCAAGACAAGGAAAAGTGGCACTGGATGTGGAAGGTGAATGTTGACAGGGACTCAAGATCAAAACTTTTGAAGTATGTTTCTGCCACTGACTGTGTGGCCTATGGGACGCACTTCATCTTTCTTGGCTTCATTTCACTTGTCAGTTAAAAAGGGCATAATATTTATATCCACAGTGTCTTGTAAGTCATTCATTTTTTGATTTTCATAATGAACACGTTGTTCATATTGAAGCGAGCCTGTTATTATGAACAAAGGGTCACAATGAAAAATTCCTTTCCTATGCAGAGAGCCTGAGGGGCAGCTCCATTTCCTATTCAGCTTTACACCTTTGCAGATGGGTGAGACTTGAATTGCTGCCTAAAGGTCAGTACTCAAAGTATTTGCTGACTTGGCTGATAGGATAAAGCCTAGAGTTTCAATCTACCTATGTAAAACACCTACTCTCTAGTACTTAGTAGAAATAAAACCTGGCTGCACTTAGGGAAGAATAAAACCTTATTTTTACTGAGGGCCAAAATTCTTATGTTCTAGGACACTATTATTCAATAGCCATACCAGAGAAGTAAGATATCAGGTGTAACTCACTTAGCTTTCAAGTGTCCTTAGAACCATAGTCTTCACCACTGTGAATAACACAAAGAATGTGTTTTTCTCCTGTAGCTGTTTGTTCATATCAAAAGAAGTGATGCACATAAATTCCTTATTAGTTAGACTTATGGTATCTAAATTTTGAAAATATCTGCCCGTTTTGTTTTTTTTCTTATCTCCCATCAAGTGTTGCCACTCTAATGAAGATACTAAAAATGAAAATCTTAAAACTAAATCAGTCAATTCTAACTGTCATACATAGAGCAAAAATTATATAAGGAGGCAAAACTATAACAAAGACTGAAATTAGATTTGGGTACTATCTTCCTTATAATTGTAAATTTTCTTCACATTATTACTAGCCTACTTCTTAGTTACAATGAGTATTACTGTGGCTATTTTGCTAATTCCATGACTTAAAATGTGCTTACTGTTTCCCATGCAATGCCAAGTACTGAACTAACAATTTCACTAGACAACCCTGTCAGTGGCCACTGTTATAACCCTCATTTTATCGATGAGGTGGAGAGGTTAAAACATATTTCCAAGGTTCCATCACTGGTAATTGGTAGAAACAGCATTCAAATCCAAGTGTGTCTAACTTTAATTACTAAGCAGCACCTTGTCTGCTAAATAGCATGTTGCAGTATTAGTTAAACACTTCTCATATACATGTTTGCAAATTTAGGTTTAAAATGATTCCCATAAAATGGATTTTTGAGGTAATAAAAATTACCAACGTATTCTGTAAATTTTATTGCCCCCAAAATAAAAGAAACCGCTCCTCTTGTATTTGAGCATGAATGAAAGTTACCCACTTTCCATGGTTCTCCTCTTGTGCCTAATTCCCCACATCTGCAACCTCTGTGTTTAAAATCTCCACAGAATAGTGCGATGGTTCTCTAAGTGTGGTCCTCTGGTCAGCAGCGCCAGCATCACATGGGAGGTTGTTAGGAATGCACGTTCTTGGGCCCTACCCCATATGTACTACCACGTCAGAAACTCTGGGAGTGGGTATCAGCAACGTGATGCACTTCGAAGTTCAAGAACCATTGACCTTGAGTGTTCACAGTGCAGATGGTGAAAAATACTATGAAAATTGGTATTTTATATGTGTTTTATAAAGTACAGCACAGGGAAGGAAATTAGGAGCATGGAGGTCGTGACCAGATGTATGCATACTAGATACCAATCATTTATTCAGGTGCTTAAGGTTATACTAAAATAGATGACTGGAATCATTGTATATGTTTCCAAGTGGCTATGATAGACTTCAATCCTTGACTATCATTCCCAAAGACCAGAATGTTAGCTAATATTCAGAGATGACAGAACATGATGTTTGCTGTCTCCTGGAAAATTAGAAAGTGAATACTTTTCATTATAGTCCAGTGAACAATGATAAGTGCTGAATGGAGATCTCAGTTTAATCCTGGCCTTATTGTAGGTTGAAAGGAAGAGGAAATACTTAGACTCCTTCCTCCCTCCCACCTTCCTAAAAACTCCGGGAAGCAGCAGTAGCAGTAGCATCACAGTGATACACTTTCTCAGTGCTTACTGTGTGCTGGACAGAAGGGAACACGTTCCATCACAATCTCTTAACATTGATAAGATAAAATTACATTTCTGCTGTTTCTGTTCTGCTTATACATCAAAATTATATTTCCCTTACATATTGGTAAAAACCTCCAACTAAGAATTTTTTTTTTTTTTCTTGCGGTACACGGGCTTCTCACTGTTGTGCCCTCTCCCGTTGCGGAGCACAGGCTCCGGACACGCAGGCCCAGTGGCCATGGCTCACGGGCCCAGCCGCTCCGCGGCATGTGGGATCTTCCCGGACCGGGGCAGGAACCCGTGTCCCCTGCATCGGCAGGCGGACTCTCAACCACTGCGCCACCAGGGAAGCCCTCCAACTAAGAATTTTGAGAATCAGATGCTTGTAGAGACGGGGCTGCTGCATATGAAGCTGTGCACCATTGGGAAATTACTGGAAGTTAATGCTCCCTGGTCTTTCATTTTCTCACTAGCAAAATAAAGGTTAGATTTTATGATCCTCTGCCATCTAAGATACTGAACATTCGTGATAAAATTCAGAAGGAATCTTAAAATAAGATCATGCTCCAGGAAATTGGCTACCTGCTCAAGTCAGAGGAACGCCAGAGCCTGCAACATCCCCTCACTTTGGAAGAGTTGGTGGCTCATGACTTGTCCTGCCTTTTCTTCTTCTACAGCCTTGGGCCAGGTCACATCTCTTGGGCTGCACTCATCTGAACAGACCTTGCCAAGAGAACATATGCCAGAGCAGCAGTTGGCTGAGTGGTCCTCACCAGTGGAGGAGTGAGTGGATTACCAGAAGGGCTCTGCTGTGGCTCCCAGTTAGTGAGGAGTGATGTGGCTGGGACGCACTGGCCTGGCCAAAAGAGCATTCTTTCACCTCTAGCCAATTCTCATCATTCTCCACAGAATGTGCCATGTTGGCTAAAGCCATGAAGGTAGATAGCATAGCCTCAAGCATACACCTGTCTCCTAATTTGAAAATTCCAGGGTTTTAGAGGGGAAACACAGTGCAGTGGTATTTCTCATTAGGCGACAGACAGCTTAACGCTTACAATTTGATTGATAAAATGGAATTTTTTTATAGTCCAGTGGGCTCCAAATTGTTATTGTTCTCAGATCTGTATTGCTTGGTCCTTGTTAATTCAATAAGCAATCTGTATCGCTAGTATAGAAGACAAATAGCTTTTATAAGTGAAGATCTAAAAACTGAAGTGATAATAATATAACTGAGAACAAGGTTTCATTTTTTTTTCCAGTGCAGATTGTATGTTTGGTAACTTCCATGCAAGCAAACCAATATGGTCGTCTTCTGAAGGCCATAATTGAGATGACGAATTGTGGAGTCTCCATTGACTGTCCTACCATGGAAACACGGTGAGGGCCGCAGTGATTTAATTATACCAAGAGTTACTATTGGAATAGGTAAGCGCAAACACGAGGAAACTTCTGCAATACTTCTCCCCACACACTCTGCCCCATAGCACTGCTTCTGCTTTGGAAAATCACTTTTCTAAAATAGCAGTTAATTACATCTGTCCCATTAAACAACTGTACACTGAATAATATCTACATTAATAGAATAAAGCCTCTGAGGAATAACTCTTTGGCATCCTTTTCTTTGCCAAGGTCTCTGGGAGCCGTGCCAGGAAAATACAGTAAAATCTCTTGGCCGAAAAGTTGTGTCCTTCCTTCCCCGCTCTGTGTCTCCATCATCTATGCCATTTTTTAAAAATCTGTATTATCTTGCTAGAAATGTGAGAGGCTTGCTTTAGTTTATTTGAAACCTGCCTTCTATTTTCAGTGCTATGGTTCTGTTTCAGTGGAATGATATTCTAATCTCTTCAGAGAACCATCATCTTCTTTGAAGTTGATTCCCCACGTTTTTGATCTATATTTTCCAGATACTGATGCAAGTGCTCCATCACTACTCTTCACAAGGCTCTCATCCCTGCCTTGCTACACTTTGCATGGTCTCTTCCTTTCTCTGAACCTTAAGCCACAAAGAGGCAGGGCCATTTCCAAAATCAATTCCTGGCAGGAGAGAAAGGGCCTCCATGCATCAGGAAACCGTTTCAAAGGTTAACAGTATATCCAAGGGCATTAATTAAACTTCCTTCATAAATAAAGGCTCAGTGCTGTCAAAAGGTGGAATGCATGAGGAGACAAGTCCAAGACTATAGCTTCCTTCACAAAAAAGAAATGAAGCTTTTCGCAGACAAAACCTATTAAACACATTCACCTCCAGATTGTTAGATGTGTCAAATAAGAGGGAGAGACAGCAGAAGAGCCCTTAATTCAAGGAATAAAGGGCACCTTCTCTATTCTGTGTCATTGTGGTCTTGTCTCTAATTCAAAGAGCTCTGAAGTTAGTGATAATTAAGCAAATGATTGATACTGAACAAAGATGATTTTTTAGGTTCATTTGATATCAGTTTTCTTCAGGGAGAGAATCTGTTTATTCCTTTTAGCATTGATCCCCACATAGGAGATTAAAAAAGACACAGCCTTTGTTAAACAGCTTAAAAGAATTGGAGAATTTTCTTTCCGAGGCTTTGACTGATGAGATTCTTTGCCAATTTATGAAAGGAGAAAAATGGGAAAATTATAGAATAAGCTGTCATAGTCACTTTAGTTAGAGCATTTTCATATTTATGTCTGCTGTCAGCATTTAACAAAATAATGTCAAGGGCAAGGAAATAAACAGCCTGACTTTCGTTGTCACATGGGTACTAAGCCACATCAAGATGAAGTGCAGGCATTAGAAAACTGTAAGTGAATACTAGGCACACAGAGAGCTGGAGCAGCTTATCCAGTCACCAGGCTATAGCGTATCACATATTTCTTAGATGTGAGTGAGTGGCATGTCAGAGATTAGGCAGAAAGTACATGATGCAGAAAGAAAAATCCGCTTAAAATATATCTAATAAAAATTCAAAAGATTGTTTAATTGAAGAGGTCTATTTTTTGTATTAGAGTTATTCAGCCTACTTTTAAGTGGAGACATGATAGCTGCTAAATCTTCCAAAGGGTAATGGACATGAGGGATCAAGTGTAGTCAATCCCCCAAGCCTCAGCTTCAGGCTTTTATTTTCAGTCAGGAGAACTCTTTTCAGGCACCCATTTCCAGTGCTTATCCATTTCCCTCTTTCTCTCTGGACTTCTCCTCTCTCTGTCTCAGTGGCTCACACCCCCTTGAAGACACAAATAGTTGGGGGCAAAACACAAGAAGCAAATGGAGTAGACTATTTTCAAGGTGGAGAGTGTCAGGGATAGCCAAGGCTGGACACTGGCTAAGTGGATAAAGGCTAGGAAGAAGCATGGAAGGGTCCGAACCTTGGCCAGGTGCAAGTGATGGCATTATACATAATTCAAAGCTCCAGAGGCAGGGTTAGGGACCGAGGTGCAGAGGAGCCAGGAGCAGATGGGAAGTAGCTCCTGGGACTCAGAGACTTGCTTTGTTCCATCCTGAGTGTATATTTTTTTATTGAGACAGGATTGGCTTACAGGACCAGAACTAGGGTGGAGTAGAGAGTTGGTTACTTTTTATCACATGATATCCAAATCTCCTCAGTGTAAGGGGAAGAGGTGTTAAGATTATATGTAGAGCGTATTCCTACAATAGTGGGTAATATCTCATCCAAAACAAATCAGGGAAATCCAAACCCAGGGAGAAAGTGGGACTGAGGGCCATGCAGGATGCTAGCATTCGTAATCAAGAGGAGAGACTGGAATTGTGGACTATATTGTAGAAACGCAAAAGTCAGTTGAGGGATCCAAGAATCCAGAATTGGAAAACATGAAAATAAAAATCCCACAAAGGAGATGAACCCCTGACAGTACTGATCAGGAGAAGGAAGACATAAATAAATAATATTATGAGTGAAAGGGGACTCTTCCTATAAATAGAAATTAAAAAGGTAATAACACTATCAACAACTATATTCCTACAATTTTGAAATGTGAGATGAAATGGAAAAATTCCTGAGAAAATATAGGTGTAGAAATGATCTAAAGAGGGTTAAAGCTTGAATAATTCTATAAGTATTAAAACAAACTAGTCTTCAAATCTTCAAATAAAACAGATAAAAATAAAATTTTTCAAATAAAACAGCAGAATCAGATGGTTTTACAGGCGAATTCTACCAAATGTTCAAAATGCAGAGTATCTTTAATTTATTTAACTTTGAATTTAACAAACTCTTTTTAATGGTAAGAAAAGAGGGAATATCCAACTCATTCTACAAAAGAAGCATAACCCTCCTATCAAAAGCCAAAAAAGACATGTAAAAGGAAAAATTACAGGTCAATTTTACTTTTCAATATAGGTGTAAAAAGTCCTAAAAATAGTTTATATTAGAAAACTAGAAAATCAAATCCAATGTGTATTAAAAAAGAAAATACACCAAGGCAAGATTGGGTTTATCCTCAATAGGCAAAAAGAATTTATATTAAAAAAATATAACTCACATTAATAAACATTTAGATGGTGAGCAAAATTAACACTTTTAATATATTAGAGGATCAGAGAAATCTTACTATAGAAAAATATATTTAAATTTGTTCAACTTGAAATTTTCCAAGATTTACTTGAATACTTAATTATTGTTAATCTTATCATGAAGAATTACGTAAATATTTGCTATTGAATATTTAAACTATAAACAAACAAAATGTTTAAGAGTCTTTTAAGATAGATTCTATATATATAATTTCTCTTACAGAACAACGTGGTGTGATGTGGTCTTGGGGCAGGAGCCATGAGGTGGGAACTGTGGCCCTGTCGCTGCTGTGAATGAACTAAGTGGCCCTTAGACTTATTTGCATCACAGCTTTCTAAAATACAAAATTATAATCTTCAAAGTTTATTTCACCTCCCTAGAGTTTTGAATTCTCTATATTAGGAAAACATAATTTTTTTTACATTTATGATTTGTGCACGTTTTTGTATTTGTGGTACTTTAATACAACTCACCAAATAAAAGTTCTATCACTTTGATAAATTGTGTGATATCAGTTGTCTAACAAAAAAAATAGTTCAAACAATTTAAGCCTATAACTGTTATGATCCAGAGCCCAAGAGGAACTGCATGGCACCCCTCCTGAGCACATGGCGTTTGGGCGTGGTCATTCAGTCGTGCCTGCCTTGACATGGGCAAGTTCACTCGAGGGTTATTTGGACACTGCATTTTTTGCAGAGTACATGATATTTATGCAGATGTCATGACAAAAAATAGCAAATCGTTAAACTTTTCACCAAAAAATATTATAAATTTCTGTGTGAGATTTACACAGAAATATAGCCTCCTCCAATCTCTGATTCTCACCTAGAACCTAATCTCCAACTTCTTCCTGAGCCATACTCTGTCCTACAGAATCAAAACACCTTATGGCCAGAAGAGTGCCTGACAGATAGTAGGCACTGAATCAGTGATTTTTAAAGGACTGAATGGATGATGATTAGAATTTCACTTTCTGTGCTGACTCCCCACACCCACTATTGAAGGCATGACTTTTTTCTTCCTTTTTAAAAATCATGGTGTACCTAGTCCCCAAAACAGATCTGTGCTTAGTGGATGGATTAATGATTACTGCAGTTGTTGAAGGGAATGACCAAGGCTGTTCAGTCTAACACAATAGACATTTATTAAAGACACACCACATGTTATCATATGATATATGTATGCATTGTAAGCAAGGTTATTGAAGTATATATAGTACAAAGAATAAAAATAATGAAGAATAAGGCAAAGGGTAAGTTCATGTAAGAAAATAGAAATAATAGTCTCTAAGTTGGCCCCCAATGGCCTCACCTCTTTGTCTCCATGCTTTTGTGCAATTCCCTCCCTTTGAGTGTAGGCTGGACCTGGTGGCTTCCTTTTAATTGAATAGAATATACCAGAAGTGATGGGACATCACTTCTGAGATTAGG